GATTTAACGCATGACTAAATGTTCATATTCAGGTCATCAACTTCTTAAATAAACTAAGGAAATGAAGTCAATTATTATCATACGATGCGAGAAAATTTTTTCTATTAACAACTGACTGATTTCTTAAAAGGAGAAAAAAAAATGGGTACTGAGGCTATTCGGTCGAGTATAGAGAAGAAAGAAGAAGAAAAAAAAACAGAAAGAATGAAACCATTTGTCTTGTCGATTGAAGTTGAGTTATATGCCGTGCAATTAACAAACATTTTCTCTTTCACTTCACACTCTCATATTCATTTATTCATTGATACAATGTTGTTCACTGTATTCTTCTTATATGTCTGTTGTTCATTAAGTAAAGCCTATGATTTTTTTCCATCAACAATTAATCGTTGTCAAACAATTCCATCAAATTTTACATTATGTTATGGACTTGGTTATACACAAATGTATTTACCAAATTTACTTAATCATGAAAGTATAACTGAAATATTATATGAATTACCATTATGGCAATCACTTCTTAATTTGGGATGTCATTCAAATGCTCGATTATTACTTTGTTCAATTTTAGCACCTGTTTGTCTTCAACAAACACCTGAACGACCAACACTTGTTTCATTTGATAATAATCAAGATTCAATATTTTCAATGACATATGAAAATAAAAAATTTTTATATCCATGTCGTACACTTTGTGAATCAGTTAAACAAAGTTGTGAACCAAGAATGATAAATCAATTTGGTTATAAATGGCCAAATATGAGTAAAAATTTTAATATAGAATAAAAAAAAAACAAAAAAACAATGATCTAATTATATTTTAGTTGCTTGTGAACAATATCCAGAAGAAACAGATCTATGTGTTTCTCATTCATCATCATCAACAACAACAACTAGTACATTATCACCACCACCACCACCAACAACTATTACAAAAATGAATTTATGTTCAATGTGTCAATCACGAACAAGTGTAAGTGATTTACTTAATGATTATTGTCGTTCATCAATTGTTGTTCGTACACGTCCAGTTAAAAATTCATTAATATCAGAAAATAATTTTATATTTGCAAATAAATATAAAGTTCGATATTTTAAAAAATTAGATAATCAACAAATAAAATTTGATTTTCCAATTAAAAATTGTTCATGTATTAAATTACATTCACCAATTATTTTATTTCTTTCATCAAATGGTGAAATTATTCGATTTATATCAATTAAACAAAATCCACGTGTTTTTAAAAGATTTCGAAATACAATTGTCTTACGAAAACCTCGTTGTCAACGTCGATTATAAATGTCATTTAACTTTCTTTCTTTTCTTTTTTTTCTTCTATGTGACATTTAGGTAATAGATATCATTGTAAACGTCATCAGTTTTTTGTTTAATAAATTTCATATTCAGAATTCAAATAATACGTAAATATTGAATTTTACGTATCCATTGATACTTGATTAACCATATTCATTAAGAAAAAAAAAAAGACGAATAAAGAATTATAAAATCTCATTATTAAATAAATCTAGCGAATGATTGACGTTGTATTGCGTTTGCTTGCATTTCTAAGTACATGAAGCATTAAATTTGATTGCTTTCAGTTAGCTATTTGATTATAACCAAGGAGAAAAATTCGATTTATATTATGACGTTTCGCTGTGATAGGTCTACGATCAGAATTTATCGTTATATCGTTTTACAAGATTATTCGTTCAAAGAAACATTTCGTTTTATTAATGATAATGAATAACATAGAAAACAAATCTCATGACCTTAGATCCTTCATTCAATAGTTCAATGCTGCCTCTATCACCAATAAAAATTTCAGATCAAACAGTTTTAGTTTGCCTGATTTATGAAGTAATCTTGGGGTAATCTCCACATGATAGTTGATGAGAATCATCGAAGAGTGACCTGTACCTCCGACTGATTTTAATCATTCGTCTTGAAATTTTCTCTGCTGAGGGCTATCAATCTCGGGTTGCTGCCTGTGATCATGGTTTACCGAGCTCTATTTGTAATGAAAATATCAGATAGAAGAATTGAAGTTTATGTCTTTTTTACTCAGTAGCAGGACTTCTTGCGATTACATTAAAGTGACTTTGTCTAATCCTAATTAGAGATCTGCAAAATCATTTTAGTTTTAGTCCTTGTCTTGATTAAAGTTTTTTGCTAATCTTGGTGTTGGTTAAATTTTTTGTATTGATCCTGATATTGATAGCATAGGCCCAATTTTCTATCTGAAAACAAGGCACATTTTTTATAAATTGCAGTCTTCTTCAAATACATATAGAATTAAATGAATGATTTTGACTGTAGTAGTACGAACATTTCTTTATATGCATGTATTAGAATTAGGGATATACAAAAACAGGATTTCTTTGTCCCTATCAGAATTTCTTCCACGTTCCGATCGTGCGACTCAAAAAATTCTCTAAGAACTCTTAGTTTTTGAACGGATATTAAATCTATATGTATGATCTTGAATCGATATATTACTTCAAGGGTAAATTTGAATGTATTAAAATTCAGAGTTTGCAAGAGTGGAGAAGATATGTTTAAAAGCAGCTCTGGAACTATTTAAGAGTACAATTTTTTAATTTATTCTTCTATTTTAAACAAGTATTTATGTTTTTTTTTCGAATACCAACAAGCTCAACAATAACACTATTGAGCCCATAGATGACATACCAAAACAATGACAAAAATATGTGTTAATAAAGCAAAACTCTGATCTTTGGCAACTAAGTCGTAATCTTACAGAAAAAATAGCCAATTCTCAGATCCTTAATCAGAATAGACTGATAATTATGAAAGTTTACAGTCTAATTGTTGATAAAGGAATTTTATCGGAGCTAACTTGGAAAAAAATATAGATCCTGGTTCGACCAGGGCTATCTGACAGATCCCTGTCTCTAATACGATATGAGGACTTCTGTGGTGATATGAATTCCTTCGAAACGACATCATTTATAATAATGAATTCGATTTCAACATAATATTGTAATCAAAGTTGAATAAATGTAGTTCTGATGAAGTGCTTGAATGATGATTCGACGTTCAAACTTTGAGGAAAGTTGCAAAAAAACTTTTTGTCTGAGGTAATTTATATTTAAAATAATTTTAGAATCTCTACTTGTTTATTCTGTGTCTTGTTTTTTTTTGCATACATAATACAGCTCCAATAACGTCATTGGTCTTAACAACATGAATATATCACTTTTCTTAATTTATGTAAGAAAATTTTAATAATTCTATTTATTTATTTTATATAATACTAAGAATCAATTGAATAAATTAATGTCAATTTTTTTAAATATTTCTACACTCGTCGTTTCATTATAACACTATTCTGTGAGCCCAATCAAGTGTCGCGAAATCAATTGTATAAAGGACAAAAGGACCATCTCATGATTTCGCTAGTGGTCTCAGTGCACTAGCATAATGATTACTGAATTCTTTCTAGGAGTATAACCAGACCTATCGCGAAGTATTCAGAATTTGGAATGAAATTAGTAACTCAATCACATGGACTTCAAATAGCCAAGAATTTGCTCACATAGTACTTCAAATAGTTCTTCTATTATTCATGGTACAGTAGATCGTTTAAAAAATTACCAAACGATTTCATCAGATAACTTGATATTATGCTAAGGGATATCACACAAAAAACAAAATATTCGGATTTTAAGGGTCAAGCAAGGTTCCAAGATAAATCCATATTGCTTTTCAACAGAATTAGTATAATATTTTTTGAGTATTTTTATTGTCGATTTAGAAACATTTTAAAACATATAAAAACAATTTAATTTTACCATTTAGTCTTTTGAGAAAGATTGTTGTCATCTTATGAAATTCAAAAAAAGATTTCTCAATATTTTTGACAATGAAAATATTTATATTGGTAGTTATTAATCAAAGTAATGCTTTTCAAAAAATACAACTCATGCGAAATTTCCAGTCTGACGTAAGACTTATTAAGTTTTTGAACATTGATTATGCTAATACAATTGATAGTGTTCATCGAAGCGAAATTTTTTTCTTCGTCGATAAGATTGCTGCTTCTATGTTGATTCTGTACAAAAACAAATTCATTATGAAATACAAATTGTTCTATTTGTTAAGGTTGTTTTTTTTTGTTGTCACAGGTAGTCATGTGAATGACGTTTGTTGACAAAAACAAAGCCCTTCAAACATAAAGTAATATTAAAACATTACTTAAACTACAGACTAGAAATTTTTTTTTCGGTCAGTTATGATTGTATGGTTGGTATTTTTTTCTTTAGCAAATTCAAAAAAATTTCATTTTACTTCGTAATTTGATTTAATTTCGGTACTTTTAGAAAGACAAAAATTTTGACAAATCGCTACTGCATGGTTTTTTTTCTTCATCTTTCGACCGATAAAAAACAAAATGATTGCTAATTATGACAAAATGTCATACCACTCGATTTTTTACGATCAAATCAATCATACAAATGATTTTACGTTTTTCAGTAAACATCTTTTAGTTCTTCTTGAGAAATAGAAAATAAAAAAAAGTGCACTCAACTTCTGCATTCTAACGGCTTGCATGTTTACCTACTCCATCATGTAATTTTTCTGTTCTGTTTTTTTATTTTTTGATGACAAAGTAATATTACTACGGTTATATTTCTTTACTTGTTTCATCATTGTATAACGAAGGGAAGAAAATCATGAGTCATAAAAAAACAAATTTCATGAAAAGAACCCGACATGTAAGAAATACTTTTTTCTTTTTATCGATCACAAAACATATTTTCATCGCAATTTTTCTTGTTTTTTTATTTTCAATTGATTGTGTACTCTCAATTATGTCTGATGAACACAATTAATTATTTATTCTACTCATTGTTTTATTAATTACAATAGAATTACCAAAGTATTTCTTGCAAGTTCGATAAAATAGTGAGTGCAACGAAATATTTAAAATTTATTTGACTGACAACAATTCAGAAATCAGAATATTAACAATACTATGGGATGTCAACGTAAGAATTCATATTACATTTTACTAATTATGATTTATTAAATTTAGTTATTGATATCCATCATTAAATAATGTTCTTTATTATTTTAGAATCTCAAGTTGCACCGACAATTCATCCTGTGTTTCACTCTAGAGAAGGTAATTTATCAACACGATTTTTTTTATTTTACAAAACACATTGTTTCATAACAAAAATGTTAATTTCAATTTTCTGATAGAATTTTCACTGTTCTAAATAAATTTTAAGAAATATTAAAATATCAGATCGAGAGTTGGACAGTTACTCACAAGTATGAATGATAAATTGAGTATTCTCTTCATTTACACTCACATACACGTGAGCAACTGTCTTAGATCCATCAGATCAATAGAATTTTTTCTACTTGTGATAAAAATATATTTTCTAATTTTACAGAATATGAATAATAATTTAATATTTAGATTCAGATATATATTGGTTGAATCTTGCCTTCCGTGACAAAAGTGAACAAACTATTATAAGACCTCATGAACTTGAATCTTACTTGCGTGATCCTCCTCCTCAAGATGTTGATAGAAAATTACGAAATCGTATTCTAGGTTCTCTGATCGGTTTAGCTTTGGGTGATGCTCTTGGTGCTCATGTTGAATTTAGACCTCATCAATATATGGTTGAACATCCAGTTACGGATCTTGAAGGAGGAGGTACATGGGGTCTTCAAAAAGGACAGGTAATGTATTTTATGAAAGTAGAAATCAAAAGATGATTTAACAAAAAAAAAATTGATATATTTATTATCTAGTTCACTGATGACACTTCTATGGCACTTTGTTTGGCTATTTCATTAATCATTAATTGTGATTTTAATCTATACGATCAATTAGTTCGTTACAAATGGTGGTACAAACATGGATATATGTCATCAACAGGACAATGTTTTGATATTGGATCATCAACTAGACAAGCTATAAATGAATTTGAACGTCGACAACATCAGTTTGCTCAGAAAAATGAAATCCGTTTAGAAGATTTAGATTTAAATACTGGAGAACAAATTTTTCAAAATTTTGATGTATATTGTGGAAAAAATGATGCAGCTGGTAATGGAGCTCTTATGCGTCTTGCACCAGTACCACTTTTCTTTCATCGAGATGCAAAAACAGCTGTGAAATATTCAGGTCTTAGTGCTAAAACAACTCATGGCGATCAAAAAGTCTACGATGCATGTCGGTTTTATGGTGCTTTGATCGTAGCTGCTATTCGAGGTGAATCAAAAGAGAATTTATTACATCGTGATTTCTACGAAAAACATCAAGACTGGTTTGGTACTACACCACTTCATGATGATGTTAAAGAAATTATTGCGGGATCTTATAAGAAAGAAAATGGTTATGCCGATGGAATTAAAGGCAAAGGTTATGTTATTGATAGTTTAAAAGCTGCTTTGTGGGCTTTCTGGTCAGATGGCGATTCATTTGAGAATGGTGTTTTAGCTGCTGTTAATCTTGGTGATGATGCTGATACAACAGCGGCTATATACGGACAATTAGCTGGTGCTTATTATGGTTACAAAGGAATACGTTCTGACTGGACCAAACAAATCTATGCGGAGAAATTTATTCAATGTTTGAGTAAATGGATTGTTTATCAGGGTGAAATGTGGTTACAACAGAAACCATCAACTGTAATCCCTCCTAAACAGAAATTTTAGCTGTAAAGTGGAATGATACTAATAAAAAAAAAGATTCCATCATACATACAATTGTTTGTTATAAACTTTTTGAATATAGAAAAGAAAGTAATTCATAAAAAAATTATTTTATAATCGAACATTGTTCAAAAACAAATCCAACAGTTCTATTGAGAATATTAGTCTTATCATAAATATAATTTACTGGCAAATAATAAAATTTTTCAAATTATATGAAACGTTTTTGTTTTTCATTTGGTAAATATTCTCTATTTGTAAACATGAAAGTAAAATGGTACTATCGATCATAATACGATTTTTCAATCAGATTTAATAATTAGATTTTACATGTCATCATGAAGTAGAGAATTAATTGAATTCATTAAGGCGTAAATGAAAAGATTAAGAAAAAAAGAGTTTTTTAAATCAAAATTTGGACTGTCGGTTCTCTTGTGTTGCTTTTGTCGTTAAAATTTTATAAATAAGTAGATAGATGATGAAATATTATTCAATGATCATACATTTGTTCTGATCGTGCACATATAAAACCATAAAGGCATTGACTTGGTGGAATACTCACAACATTCTAAAGAAAGAAATGTAGCAAATACATTTCCATATAATTGTCAATAAAAAAATTATCTCTCGTTGCTGTCGTAGGGTTCGAGTGGATCTACTTTACAGATTTTTATATACTACTATATAAATACTTGTTTTTTCGAATAATTCCTCTGCTGTAATCTCTAGTCTTTAATAGGTGTACAATATTCATACCAGAAATCATGAATAGATCTAAGAAGGAAAAAATATAGCTGTGGGTTTACATGAATACTAGAATACTAATGGTTTTATACGTGTAATTTTTCGTCTTGTTAAAGCTGTAAACTGTTGTTTTCCAATTATTTTTCCAAATAGATTCATTTATACGTTCATTATGAATAGTAATAATTCACATTTGCTTTATACAATGTGAAGTTTATGATATTATTTTTTTACCAAAACCATATTACATTATTTTTATCGGTTCGTTCAAATCGTGTAAATTTGTTAAAACGTTTATAAAAATGTCAGAGAGACTAACAAACAGTAACTTGCCAGACATGTAAAGAAGAGATCCCGCCTTCAGCAAAGAAAATCAAATACGAATAACTTCATTATTGTGACAGAGAAACGACCGTTTTAAAGTTTTTAAATCATCAAAAAAAAAAAAAGAAAGAGATAAAACTAAAATTTCTCCCCCTTCTTATCTGTCGACAATTGTATATATGACCATATCAGCATATTTCTACCGTTCTTCTCGACTGCAATAACTCGATCGATGATTTTTTTTTTCAGTTATTCTTCAATACTATTATGCAAACAGTTTTAAACAATTTAATTTAATTTGATATTTTATGGCTTTATATTGAACGTGTTCCATGTAACTTCCAAATATTGTTTGTAGATGCGTTTGAGTGAGCCAGCGAATCTGAACGCATTTCAAGATCAAACAAAAACTGATTTTATTATCAAATAATTAACAAGAAATTTTCGTACTTTAATATTTTTGATAGCCTTGTATGACAAACGGAACATTGGCCTGTGAATTAATTTGTTCTTTATGACGTCTAGCTCAATAAGGTTAATTGAATATTACTAAATCTTCTATTTATAAATATTTTTCACAACGTCATAATTCATCTTTTCATACAATCTGACAAATAGATTTAGAATTATTTATATCATAATGATCTCCATAAGATTTTCTTTGTAAGAGAAAGAAAAACAAGAATTGTTTGTCTAATTCCGCATCTCTTCTTTCATGTTACACAAGTTTCTCGGTTTTTTTCAATATGTAATTTTTTTGTACTAGGGATGTCATATTTTCGAATATTTGGTGAGTGAAAGTTTATATCGAGGTTTTTGCGACTGCGCCCTAGGCTCTAACCAATGGGATGAGCGAAGGAAAGCCAAAGATCATTCAATATATTTTCCTAGCAACGGAAAAGAGCGCGTCAATAACAACAGTGCTTAGATCATTCTGGAACTTTCTCGACAAAGCATTCTATGAATATAAGATTCCTACTGTTGATTCTAACTAGTCGAAATATTGCGAGGTTTGGTATTTAATCTAGCGAAAGGATCTGATTATAAGTGTCAATCAGTAGGATGATGGTATTCTTTGATCTAGTAGAGTGAGATTAGAACGGACATAGGAAAGTATGAATTAATTGAATTCTAAGTTTAGGCAAAACTCAATAGTATATGTCAAAATTCATCGAGAGAAACGATGGTGTATTCGAAAGTGGATTGAACGATTAAATCAATGTGTATAGGAGGCTAATCTCGTAGTTGAACGAATGAAACGAAGACTACAATGATATTTGCTGCTTTCTATTTCATGTATCATATATATTATTATTAGGAGAAAAAGAGTTATATATTGAAGATGTATCTGACAATACGGAAAGTTTCAAATGAATCTAATAAATTGATAGAATAGGAGATACAATCTAAAAAGAATGTTGAAGTATATAGGGCAGAAATGTGCACTCCCACCACATACTGTGATAGAATCGTTAAAAGTGAATCACACTCTCCTAGCTGCACACTGTGATAGATGACCTTCAGAGACCATCGCAAACCGTGACAGACATCTTGGGAACCTGCCACTGATTGTGCAAGATGTTGTTGATATACGATCAAAGATCGAACATCAATAGCATATTATCATAAGATATGAACTACTTGTTGATTCCAGTTCTGAAGGAATAAGTAAAAGGATGGCTTAGAAAGGTGCCGTAAAATAGATAGATTAAAACAATCTTTCTGTGAATACCAAGAGTAACTACATCGCGTTTCATATTTTAATCCTGCAGGGATTCGGCTAATAGTTTTATATTTTATTTTTAAACATGTCTTGATTTTCCTCAATTACAAAACGGAGAGAAAGGCAAAGAAAATTAAATAGAAATTAAGCTTATTAAAGAATATTTTGAATTAAATTAATTAGAAATTAGAAATGAAATTAAATGGTTTAATTTTGTGATAAATAAACCATTGATAAATGTTCTATATCTTCTTTAAGAAGAACATTCATACCCATAAATGAATGTGCACCAATATGACAATGAAACATCCATAAACCTGGATTATTAGCAATCATACGTAATTTTGCCCATCCACATGGTTTTCGATGATTTGTTACATTACGATTCGGAAAATAATAAGCATAAGAAGTTGCATAAACCATTAATGAATCACGTAATACTGGATCGTGTATATCAGGCCAGATATTTTCAGTTGAATCATACATCTCAGTTCCATATGAATGTATCCAAAATTTATGTCCATGCATATGCATTGGATGTGATTCACAAATACCATTAAGTGCAACAGTATTTTGAATAATAATATCAACTAATTGATTATGTTGTAGAGTATAAATAATATCATTTGGAAGATTTTGTTCATTACCATGATATAAATCCATAAGAAGAGATGTACTTAGATTATTTAAACGAACCATATCAAATGTTGCATTATTTGTTAACCAACGAATACCTTTACCATCAGCTGTATTTTCTTGACCAGTATGTAAAATTATTTCAATATCAGCACGACCTTGAGGCATTTTTTCTGATTCAAGTAATGTCCGATATCGTTCACTATAGGAAAATATAAATAATTCAGTTTCATTAGATAATATTGGAAGATTAAGTGATGATTTATCCGAAGGAATTGATGATTGTAAACCATATCGTAAGATACCAATACAACTAGAACAAAAAAAGAAATAGTAAATTGGTTATAGATCGAAAAATAAATGTATGAATAGTATGAACCTAGAATTGACTGCTGCTACTCGCCATCGAATTGATGCTTGCATAGCAAAAACACCAGTATTTTGATTTTTTGTTTCAATCATTACTGCATATCGTTGTCCAGAAGCAATTTCAATTGATGTCATATTTGGTTTTGGTACAATGAGTTTTCCATCGACTTCAACAACTGTCATTGTATGTTCAGCTATACCAAATACAATTGTAGATAAACTTGTTCCACCAATTAATCGTAATAAATAGAATCTGTTTGGTTCTACATTTAATACGAAATTTCGTTGACCATTCATAAATATATATGATGGTTCTCCTTCCCATTTAAATGGTGATTGAAGTAAGCCGGCTTCTTGTGCAAGACGATCAACTCCTTCCCAATAATCAGAAAACATAATTGGACCTGATGATACTTCTACTGCTTCCCATGGTCTTTCTGGATCATCAATAATTATTGTACCAAATGCTGTAACAGCTTGTAATCCTACATGTGAGTGATATATATGAGTACCAGCTGGATATGCATGAAAAACATATGTAAATGTTTGACCATTTCGAATTGGCATTTGTGTTACAAATCCTACACCATCCATTTGTGGTGTTTGTCGTTGAAGAATACCATGAAAATGAATAGTAACATCTTCCATTGATTGAAGAGCATTATGAACATGAACAATGACTATATCATCAACATTGACTCGAATTGTTGGTCCTGGAAATTGATTATTAATTAATAAAACAGATGTTATATTCCGAGCATAAGTTATTGTAAAATTGTATTCATGACGATTAATAACACCATTTACTGCTTCAGTTAAAGAAAATAATGATATCAAAAGAAAAAAAATTGAATAAGATATTGTCATAATATTTTTGTGTCAATATATATAAAAATATGATGTTCTTTTCACATATGCACACATTAAATGATTTTATTTTCGACACGAAAACAATCCAAAACTAACCTGAGATAAATTATTGCATCAGGAGGATGAAAAACAAAAGTTTATCATTGTCACATGGTGTAATGAAGTCATGAATATGCCTATTCAACATACGCCTCTATAGATACTTATCTTTTGCTTTTTTATTTTTATTTCGCAAGATTTGACATTCTTCTATTTCATAGAATGAAAATAAAGTAAATTATTCTAATAATAGATTTTCAGTTTATATGATGAATTTGTTTGCAATAATTTCACTGTT